GCTTGCTTCCATCCATTCCAATAGCTTGTCTGATTGTTTTTAATTTTTGATCAAGGAACTTAATATTTCAAATCTGCCGTGTGCTCTTGGCTTGGGACCATGAATGTATTGCAGATCTCTTAGTCATAGCAATACACTTCTATTTATTTTTATTTCTTGCACAACTACTGTAGTAGAGCAGCTAGTTGTAGGGTGAGATGTGGAAGCTGCAAAGCTCTCCTGTCCTTAGGAAGGCTTTGAAGTCAGGGGCAAGGATTTCTGTCTCATTGACTGTGGATACACATAGAACAGAATTTGACTTATGTTATTTTAATGTGTTTTGGCGAGTCCAGTTACATGGGCTTTTACTGTAAAGTCAGCAAAGGTTTTATACTGAGTGATCAAGAAAAACTGAAGTCCAACAGACCTCTTTTTTAAAATCTGTTTGCTCCATGTTTAGGTCTTTTGATTTGGAACGTGTTGTTCTCTCTGAATAATATCAGGATTTTAAATTACTTAGTTCTAACTACAATCATAATCACAATCAAAGCAATACAACATGCTGGAGCAGTATCAGAGATGCCGTTTTATGACGGAACATGAAATGGGATGACTAAGCCCATGGAGTTGTCCACCTCATGCTTCCTCTTCCTTTCAGCAAGCCACAATCTGTTTCTACTCTGTACAAAGGGTAATGGCACTTCCTACCTTACAGTTATGTTGTGAGGCTTAATTCATATTTAAACAATCTTTTGTATGTGAAAAATATGAGGAAAGCATAATTGTTACTATAGACAGACAGAAAGCTTGGAGCAGATTTCAGTGTTTTACAAACTCTTTAAGGTTCCAGGTCCCTGGATTTTAAAAGTAAGAGTGGCAATACTATCATAAGTAACAGTTAATACCATAGACTTGTTCTTCAGATTTAACTCTGTGTGAGCTAATTGTTCATAGCTTTTAATAGTCTCTGAAAAGTGCCTCAGGTATTATTTAAATGCTAATTTAGTAAAATATCATGACAGAACCCCCTCATTTTTCTGGTCTCTAATTGTAAATAAAAGACCAATATTATAAATAGAATGTTTTAAATAGTTTCTGTTATCTATTAATAGCTATGAATTTTTGTAATGTTTTCATCTGACTTTATGCTAAAAGAATCATCTTGCATCAACAGTTTAATAAAGGTTAAGCTGTCAATGGTGTTATCCTATTAGAATCCTTTAAATGGCAACAATAAAAATGTGTGCAATAGTCTGAACAGATAATGTCAAAATTAATATGCACATTGTACCATGAATCTGGTATTATAAAGGCTGCTATGGGGCTTTTAAAGTGGTTGAGTAAGCGTGTTCTTAACTGAATGTTTTAGAATGTCTCATCCTTTAATGACTTACAAATATAATTTCTAAATGGATCTTTCCCTCACCTCCATATCAAGGGACTCGAGACATGTCCTTGTTGATCAGATGATTCTTGTTGCTGGAACAGTTCCCCAGTAGAATGCTCTTTTAGATTGCCAAAGGTACAGTAAAAAAAATTCTTAATATAAAGGAAAATTTGTTCCTGAAACATGTAGCCTGTAAAAATTGAAATCCTCTTTGCTTTCTCTTTGGTACTTGCACTTCTGCAAATCACTTTAATGCTTGGAATATCTCCTCTCCACCACTATTCTTATATTTGGAAGCAGAGTGCCTTATTAGTCTGAAATTTTGATCATGTGAATGAGGCCAAAGTTTGGCCTGTACAGCTTGGTTTGTTTATTCACTTATTTTCGTAAAACTAGTAGCACATAGTTCTGTGAGTACGGCTTTAGCAGAATCAGATTGGCAGAGCAGTAGGGGTACCGCTGTGTAAGTGGTGGATACCTTGTGTACAAGCAAAGGGTTTCAAATGGTGCGCAATTACTTTATTTCTTCACACGTGGCATCATACACTGAGAAAAATCTTCATCTCTACCTGCAAAACTTGCCATTGTGAGAACCTGTTTGGAAGATTTACTCATTGTTCTTATGCAAATGTTTTTACTAAGGACAATTTCTTTAAAAGCTTGCTAACTTTATATTGTCAGTTGACACTCTGAATAAGACAAATCTTCATTCTTCTTTCCAAAACAAAGGTAAATTGTGAAGGAAAAGGGTGTCTCAGTTCTACCAGGTAAGACTATTTTACTTCCATGAAACTATATTGAAAAGCCATGGTAAGAATCTACCTCTTAGAAGTGGAGTGGATACTTCCCAGGAAGGACCGACAGTTTTAGCATGCTTAAAAGACTTTTTACAGTGCTTTTATAAGTATTACTAAAAAAGGTAAGAGATGTGAGAGATGAACGAAAAGTAAGAATGCGTTGTAAATAATTCTGTTTTAATTCTAGTGAATAATTTGCTCTGGATACTGTTTTGTTCTTTTTTTTTTTTTTTTTTTTTTTAAAGCTAGCCGTTTTGAGGCACATATCTTAATTTATGAGTGTCAGGAGGGAATACTATCCTAAACTTGCCCCTTCATAATGAAGTCTGTTTGTTACTCCTGGAAGATTGTAGTGCAGTTTATTTTAGGGTGAGGGTAATACCATAGGTCAGGCCATTCCTCAAAAAAACCCTGAAACTCACATTTATTTTTTGTGCGAGTATTTAAGCGGTGTTTTTGAGAATCTTCTGCTTTCTTCTTCAACAACGCGAACCTCAGTATACCTTTCGGTTAATTTCTGCTTCTTAAAACACAAGTGATGTCCACAAACTGAGAGGAATAGTGAGAGCCCTTTGAGGGCCTTGCTTTTTTAGAAAGGGATTAGTTTACTAGTAACTGTGACTGGGTTTCATGAAACACTCTTTGAAATCTTTGGCCGATTAACCTGAGCATGCCATGAAAAGGTGGATTCAGTGTCTTAAGAGTTTGAAAAGAAAGAAGAGAAGTAACTTCATTAATTAGTTCAGGAGGCCGGTTCCATACAGAAACAGCAGCACGTGTTCTCAGTCACGGGAGACATAACTCCTGTGTCCTCAGTTATAGCCTTGTCATGGCAAAGCCTCTTCAGCCCCTCTACAAAGTCATTTCATCTGATTTGTCAGGCTTCTGCAGGTGCCAGTTTTCAAATGAAGATACACTCTGAACAGAGTAGAAATATGTTTATCCTGCTTTCACACATCATTTGTATACTTTCCCGCTAAAGGCAGGACAGAAAAACCAACGCAGTGAGCCTCCATGTTTGCTTGTTCAATTAATACCACCGTGGCTGGGTATACTGAGATTTTTGACCATGCCACATGCCTGATACAAATAGCTGTGCAAGTAGAACTCGGCTGAGATTACTAAACTCGGCATTTTGGATTTGTGATTCAACCTGAACCAGGATGGCAAAAGCGAGCTGGTAATTATCCTTGCTGGCCTGAAGCTGCCATGGCGACTGAGGCACGAAGGGCCCTGTGTTCAGCCCCGCTGCCAGAGCCGGTGTGGCTTGTGCCTAAAGCCCCTGACCGGGCTAACAGGGAGCATTCTCACGCCAGGGTGGTCTCTGCCATTCCTTCTTACAGAAAGAGCATGAAATAAGTAGAGGGAGTGTGGAAAGTCAGGCTTACCCCATCTTAGTTCTTGGCTCATGGAGTTCTCTACCCCATCTCCCTGTTGAATCAGCCTCCTCTTCCTCCTCTTCCCTCCAGCAGTCCCCCTTAGCTGCACGTCGGTGTCCTCTCTAGATTCTGCCACAATGGAATCGTGGAAGGCTTTAAGTAAGTCTCTTTTGGAAAGTCCAAACAAGCTGGCTCTTCCAGGAAGAGGAATTTTTGCCTGGCGGGCGTTGGTCAACATTAATAACAAAAGGCACTAATAGCTTTGCTATAGGACCCCTATACTATGTATGTTAGTCATTTGTAACAGCTAAGGAGAAGGCCAGGAGAGGTGTTAAACAATTACCTGCGTCTTAACTGCATCTTCATTTATGTGGTTGTTTTCTAGATAGCAAAACCAAAATGTGTATTAATTGCATCCTTTGTCACGGTTTTAAGCCCACAATTTAATATTAATAATCTAACAGCAATAATCTAATAAATAATAAAACTATATAAAAATGATGTCATTTTCAACCGCAATATTTTAATGGTATGAATTGTTAAGATGAAGTAGAGAATTCACCTATGCCTTGCTGTTATAAACAAATGCTTTTAAAATTCTTTAAGTCGTTGAAGACTTAATTAATTTATGATGAAAGATTTATCTTGAGTACAAACTCAAGTTACGAACCACTAATCATTTGATTTAAAAGGCTTTATCACTGCTGTCTAGAAGTAGCTGATAAAATGCTTCAGTTAGACTGGAAAGTTTGCTGCACTACCTGGAGAAATTTCTATGCATGTAGGATTACCTACACGGAACACAAGAAGCTAGAGTGGCGTGGGACTCACAGACGGTAACTTCATTTCAGAAGGACAGGCAGCTTTTTAGAGAGGAGCTGGAAGATTAAGTAAGAGTTATGGCAAACATATGTCTCTGGAAAAAAAACCCTGGTATTCTCAATATTAGTCTTGCAGTGAATGAAAATAAAGGCTGTAGCCTCTAACGTATACCATCAGAGTATAAGAAATGCCATTTGAGAACAATTTTTAAGGAATTTTTATTCCTCTAAGACATGCATGGGATTAATGAGTTATAGTTGCATGTTTATGAGTGAGAGAAGGAGGAGGAAATAATAATTAAGTTGTGAACTTGTTCTAGCGTTAAGTAACAAGCTGTTGAAAAAAGGGAAAAAACTCACTTCTTGGGAGTTGTTTGAATCATTACATAGATAAAAGTTTTGGACAGAGTTTTCAGCTGACACTGGCATTCCCTGACTCTGGCAGAATATTGTGATACCTGAAAATAAACTGTCCTGCTTTTTCCAGGACTTTCAAAGGTGTTAAAACTCTGCATCAGCTCTGTATCTGCACAGAG